CATCCCCAGGCCCCCTCCCTGTTCACGTTACTGCTGGTCGGAGCACACTGCACCCCACAAAACACCAAGAAAAAAATAAAACTCTACAAAAAGAATGCAGATTGTACTAAGAGCCGAGCAACACACTTCATGAACTTAACCCAGGTAAAATGCAAGCTAATTGCACAATGCATCTCTCAAGCACTTACATTTTCTTCAAAACTAACAACATACAGGACCAGCAAGCCGGTCTTCTGAAAACGCAAACCACCCAGGGCAAGATTTCAATGCAGTCGCGCTGGGGGCGGGGGGGTAATCAGGCACATTTCACATATTAGAGAATTACCAACATGCTTCTAAATAGCATATAGATCAAAGAAGAAAACCTAAGACTAAGAGACAATATTTCTGCCAGATCATAGAGAACAATGCTACATCTTGAAAGTTGAATAATGGATTGAAAGCAATTCTCAGCAAGAAATGAATTTCCTTTTAAATGTATAGAGCAGAAAGAACAACTTGAAATTAACAGTCCAACTGTCTGTCTCCAGAAGTTAAAAAAAGAACACGCCACTAAGCCAAGAGAGAAATATTAAAAATGAGGACAGAAAACAATTAAATAAAAGACAATAGGCCACAATGGAGCCAAAAAATAAAAAAAGCAAAAGTTAGTGTTTAAAGAGCTATGAAACCCACAAACCTCAGACAAAACTTGTCCACAAAGGCCGATGGTGTATTTGCTATCGCAAACAAAACGCAGACATTCACTTAGGTCCCGCTAGCGTCAAGAATATAAGGAGACCTCGTTAGTAATGTTTATAATTATGGTTATAAAATTGGGTTGAAATGGATAATTTTCAGGGTAATTACTCTACCAAAACCGATGAGAGAAGAACATAAATTCTGTCAATGTAATCTCTAAGTCTAATCTCTAATTTAGAACTTTCTAACCAAAACCTCTCCAAGTTCCACTGGTTCCACAGCGAGTTCTAGACTCTTTTGATGGCTCTGGTCTCACCCTGGCTCTTTCCGAGTAAGAGAAAGAGAGGACGTGCACGCCCACCTTACTTTTTGAGGCCAGAATGGCTTTAACAAAACATACCAAACCACCACCTTCACTCTTCCAAAGGCCCTGTTAAAAATTGGTATTGGGTGCCTAGCACCATGGCCTCGTGGCCAAAGTCCTCAGCTTGAATGCACCGGGATCCCACATGGACACCGGCTCTAATCCCAGCAGCCAACTTCCCACCCAGCTCCCTGCTTGTGGCCTGGAAAAGCAGTCGAGGACGGCCCAACGCCTTGGGACCCTGCACCCACGTGGGAAACCTGGAGGAAGTTCCCTGTTCCTGGCTTCAGATGGGCGCAGCACCGGCCATTGCAGTACTTGGGGAGTGAATCATCAGACAGAAGATCTTTCTCTCCGTCTCTCCTCTCTGTGTATCCGACTTTGCAATAGACAAAAGTTAGGGCAGGTGTGTCACAGGACGTTAGCACGCGACAGCCACCCAGTGTCCCCTGCCTCAGCCTATGCAGATGCCATTTAGGGAACCCACTCCACAGACTGGATCAAACAAGACTGCGTTGGTGAGTATCAACGGCAAGCTGGAGGCTCCCACTGCTGGTGGGTTTGTCACTTTGGCCATTTCTGAATTCATCCAGCCTGTGGGCACACACGCGTGGATCTCCACCCTGGCACAAGTTCTGGGGGCAGGAATTACTCCAGAGAAAGCCACCAGCCAGGTTCCTTCCAAGTCGCTCGATGAGTGTAGCAGAGGAGAGCAAAGAGGCAGACATACAAAGCAGCAGAAGCCAGGGCAGCACCACGGAGTCCCACGGGCCCAAGGTCACCTCGCAGAGGGAAAGACGAGAGTGGAAGAGCAGACGCCATGAAATCTCCCTTCCATAAAACTCCAGTGGAGTCAAAGCAGCCAGGAGTGAGTGGAGGGAAGGGCTGTCCAGGACATAAAGGGGAGAAGGCTGCTCTGAGGATGAAGGCGACACGTGTCCCGTGGCAGTGAGCTCATGGTAACATGCATATGTCAAAACCAACCCGACTACACACTTCCTGTCTGCGTTGTCCGGCAGGATCCACTAAGGGAGAGAAGCACCATGCTGTCTGGGCTATGCCCTGGGAAACCAGGCAAAGGCTGCGAGACGCCTGCCCTGCCCTCCAGGGAAAGAGGCCACTGTCAGCACCCCACGGCCCCCAGCCCTGAGGAGAGGGCTACAGGGCCCCTTGTCTGTCTCAGCCCACCTTGTAATGCTAAATGGAGGGTAGGCAGTTGGGCATGATGGTTAGTGGGGTCAGACCCCAACTAGCTGGACCCCCAGTGCCCTCACATCTTCCCTGCTCCCCTCCAAGACCCCCTTGGCCAGGAGATCGCGCAGCACTCACGGGACCTAGAAAGAGTGGGGGCCCCGCCCACAGACGCAAGGTCGGAAGGAAGGGGGCAGAGTATGAAGCACGGGAGTGTGCTGTGTGCTGGGAGCCCCTGGGGAACAGCACCTGCCATTGGTGTCCGGGTGGCTATGGGGACTTCCCACCTGGCAGGCAGCACTGTGCCACCCGGGTCACTGCGAGGAGGCAGTCCAACGACTGTGCACATGGGCCCATTGTGGCACAACCTGCTCTCTCTCTTTGTGCCACAAGTTTCCACCTGGAAGAGAAGGTGGGTGTGGGGAAGAGGCAGCAAAGACCTGTGTGCATGACTAGGAGACCAAGAGGACTCCTCGCCCAGACAGTGACCGGCCACATGGCAGCACGGACACCCGTGCACAGAGCCGTGTTCTTTGCTCTGGGGAGAGAAGGGGTTGTGGAGGAGGCAGCCGTGGACTCCGGCTTCCTGCACGGCCTGTTTCATGCTCAGGACACACAGCCTTTCTCTGCCGGCTGCAGTCCATTCCTGGACCCTCACACATCCTCTCACGGCAATAAGGTGCCGATCAGCTGTGGAAGGGACTTGCGTCCCCTGAGCCCCGGAGTCAGCCACGACCATCGGCCCATGGAATGGGTGAGGGAAGGACTCCAGTGTGGCCCGTGCCACACTGAGCACCCCTCCAGCAGAAGCCTCAGAGCTCACTGGTTTGCATGAACAGCTGTAGGCTCTAAGTTAACTGGACGTGTGATGGAACTAACCAACAAGTCCTGACACAAAGTTTTATCCCATGCACACCCCTTCTGCAGCAACATGCTAGCGTGGTGCCTTGCACAATAAAAACGGCCAACCGTGAAGGCACAATGCTGCTAGCCGGGGCCACTGGGCTCACTTCCAGGCCTGACTTGGCCATGCAGGTGGCGAGAGCCGGGTAAAGCCCAGCCAAGCCGAATCCTGGAGAAGCGCCAACACAGCTGGGTTTTGCGTTGTCTCCGGCGCCCCCTAGGGGTTCCACGCAGAACAAAGCTCATTTCCCACCCTGGGAGGCAAGGCCAGGGTCGGTCAACTGCGATCGTTGAAAACAAGGCACGCGGAAGGAAAGATTTTCTCCCCTTTACCCTTTCCAAAACAGGAATTTCCTTCAGAGCTGCAAGATGATAATACAAGGCGAACATGCTCCACCCCCCGGGGCCCATGGTGCCAAGCGAGTGGCAGCCCTAGAAATGCTGGCCCTGAGCTCAGGGTCAAGGTCTCCATGGTTATTTAAGGAACAGTGTCACGCTGAGGGATGCTTTGGGCCCATTCATCTCCAGGGCAAGCCGAGGAAGGGGGCAGCCAGTCAGGGCTAGCACAGCAGCCACTTGGGTGGCAGGGGCAGCCCGGCTCTGGCAGCACGGGCACAGCCAGAGGCCCCACCCCTGGCCACTTGGCTGAACACAGAGACCCAGGTGTTATGGTTTTTCTTTCTTGATTCGCCACGAGAACTGAGCTGGTGCTTGGTGGGAGTGTGTGTACCCTGGCCAAAGCGGCGCAAACGAGGGCCCACTGCCAAGTGCAAAGGGCTTATCCATGTCAACCCCACGCGCGTGCGGGAGCGTCTCCTTCAGCGCGGTCCCCGCGGGTCCCACCGCCCACTTCATCCAACCACTTCGTAAAGGGGCCTGGAAAACGGCCATTCGCGACCCAATCCTGGTCACTAGCGTCCTCTGCCGGCCACTCCGGGAAGGGGCGCGAAGACGAGGCTGGAGACCCGAGTTACCGCCGGGACCTCAGAGAAGCACTGCGCCCAAGGCGTGTTGGGGTGCGGGCCTGCGCCAAGCAGCGAGAACCGCCACTCCACTTGCGCCACCGAAGAGCGTGCCGCGCAGGGGCCACAGAGCGAGGGGGAGCAGCGCCGGCGCTCAGGACGACCTCGACCTGGGTGTTTGGGCAGTGCCCCCACGGTTCTCAAGGGAGGGTCGACCGCGGGAAACGTGCGCTGAAACACGGACGCGCTCCAAAAAGCCCAACCCCGCACCCCTAACAGGAGCTGGCTGAGGAGTCGGGGTTCCCAGGTGCGAGAGGCCGGCCTGAACAGGGCAGGGGCCGCGTGCGCCTCTTGCACACGCCCACTGGTGCCAGGGCACATCCGAAGCCCCAGGGACTCGGCTCACCGAAACCCCGCGGCCAACCGGCCGTTCACACTCCGCAATGGCTTGCCATACCCAAGGAATTACATTTTTTAAAACTCTGCGAAGCAGATACCGTTCGGTTTCCCGACCCCAATCCACGTCGAAGCGACCTCACCATGAAGCGCAGTGGGGAGAAGCAACAGCGGCGGCGCGGGGGTGGGAGGACGGGGCACCCAGCCGTCAGGGAGTGACTGGGGTGGCATGGGACAGTGGAGGTTGGCAAGGTGGCCCGGGGCTGTAGCAGTTCCCGGAGACCGCCTTGTGGACACAGCGCCGGGAGAGCGCGCGGGAAGCAGGTGCCCGGGCGGAAGCGCGCTGCGCGCCCCCGCGCTTGGCCCACGCGGCACCAGGCAAGGCGCGGGCTTGGGAGCCCCGCTTGCGCCGGCCCGCCCCCCTTCCGGGGCGTGTCCTCGGCCAGTCCCCTGCTTATATAGCGGTCGCTGTGCCCCGGCAGCCCAGACACGAGCGCGGCGACTCAGCGCACAGAGACAGCCGTCGCTCCCCCTGGTCTCGCAGCCTCGCCCCGCGTGCCGTCCCCCGGTCCCCGCGCACCCCAGCCGGCCAGCAGCCAGCCCTCGAGGCAAGCGCCATGCAGAGGGCGCGCCCCGCGCTCTGGGCGGCGGTGTTGATCGTGCTGGCGCTGCTCCGCGGGCCGCCGGCAGTGCGGGCCGGCGCGGGATCGGTGGGCGCGGGCCCCGTGGTGCGCTGCGAGCCGTGCGATGAGAGGGCGCTGGCCCAGTGCCCGCCTCCGCCCACGGCGCCCGCGTGCGCCGAGCTGGTGCGCGAGCCGGGCTGCGGCTGCTGCCTGACGTGCGCGCTGCAAGAGGGCCAGCCGTGTGGCATCTACACCGAGCGCTGCGGCTCAGGTCTCCGCTGCCAGCCGCAGCCCGGAGAGCCGCGCCCGCTGCACGCGCTGCTGGACGGCCGCGGGTTCTGCGCCAACGCCAGCGCCGCCGGCCGCCTGCGCCCCTACCTGCTGCCGGCGCCGTCCGCGCCAGGTGAGCCACTGGCCAGGTGTGCTAGCCTGGCCCTGTCGCGGGCAGCGCTCGGGGCTGGACCTAGAGGAGGTGCGGGGGGGGGAGGGGGTGTTGGGGCGGGAAATTCCGTTCTTTTTTCTTTGCCCTGATGGTTGGCGTGGAGAAGCTAAGGTCTGGAGAGAGAAGCAGGTGCCCAGCAGAGACCCCAGCGGCCGGCCGTCGGCGGGCTCTGTTCGCTAGGCAGTGTCCATCCTTTGCAAATTGCTTTCGGTGGAGGGGCTGGGAGTTTAGGAGTGCGGTGACAGTTACCGAGGCTGCGATCAAAGCGAAGATCAGGTGTCCCCAGCCTTGCGCAGGGCACTGGCATGGACCCGGAAACCCACATCTGGGCGACAGTGAGCAAGGGCGCACAGGCTGGGGCCCGGAGGGAGTTCGGCACGCTGTCGCTGGGGATTCCTGCCTTCAAAACGTGAACATTTGCGTTGCCCTTGGATTGCCAAGCAGATGGCGGCCCCGTGTGTCCAACTGCAGGCTGGACTTGAGATTTGAATCTTGGTGTCTGTGCGGTTGAAAATCCTGAAGTTAAAAAAAAAAAAAAAAAAAAAAGGCTTCTCCGGGTCAGCTAGAAGCAGCTCAGGGTGTAGTTCAGAACCCCACTGGCCACGTCTGCTGCCGCCTCACCTGTACCCGGCATCCGGAGTTGTGCACCTCTTTGCGCAGACTTCAGTGGGAGGCTGCGCGTTGGGAGCCGCCCCTCACTGAGAAAGGAGGGGCCCACAAAGGGGAAGGTGGGGGTGTCTGGCACCCCGTAGCTGGTCCCTCAGTTCCCAGCACTGTCAGCCTCAATGGGTGAACAAGAGGCATTGCCCCCGCCCCCCGAGCTCCAACAATTCAGTTTAGGTGACTGCCCACAAGCTGGTCCAGGGCTGGCGGGCTGATTCACACACACACACACACACACACACACACACACACGGCAGGGCAGGAGCCGGGAGGTTGTCTCCATCCCAGAGGAAGTCCTGGATGGGAGAGGGGGTGATGCCTGCAGCCTGGTGCACACACCGGCTGCCCGGGCAGAGCAGTCTTGCACACCGGGCACAATTGTGGTGCGTCCGGGAAGCTTGCAGACCCGGCCGTGCCTCACTGGGCGTGAGGAGGGTTTGCATAGTACGGAGCTGGGGGTAAGTGGTTTCTAACCAAAGAAGGTGTAAAGACTAGCGTGGGGCTCTTGGGGAGGGGGTCTGCGAGTCAGAAGCCCAAGGTGCAGAGAAAGCGGGAACTTCTCCAAGACCCCCCACCATGAGGGAGCCTGGGGAGGGAGCCTGGGGGCACACCGAGGCACGCAGCCCCCTGGGAACTCCCTGGGGCCAGGCGGCTGAGGCAGTCCTCTCAGGGCAGGCTGCCATCACCTCTGTGTCTCCCCAGGGGGTCAGGGAACAGTTCCCCTGGATCCTGGCACTCTGTCCCTGAACAGAATGGAGACCTGGGGGCCATCTGAGCTGGGGTGGAGGTGAGAGGGTGAGGAATCCCGTGACAGCCACTCACAGACAGGGGTCCCACGGCTGGTGGGATGCACGGGCCCCGGGATGTCTCCTCCAAATCGGGCCTTTGCCTCCCCCCGGGCGACCCCAGAGCTGCAGCAGGTTCATCGTTGAAAAGGAGTTCAGCGAGAACCCAGCTGCAAGTTGGCAGTTGATCTTGTGAGCAGGGAGGCGTGTCCCAGCAAGGTGCCCCTGCGAGATTCGGAGAAGGAGCCACCAAGGCTGCTGGGCCCGGCGACATGGAGAACCAGAAGGAGACGCTGGAGGACTCGGCCATGCCAACCCCACCGCTGCGGTGGCAGGGCAGCGCTTCCTTCCAGGGCACCGCGGGCACCTGCAGCTTTCCGTGGCTCACCACCGCCACCTGCTGGGGGAGATTTCCCGCCAGATTTGGAGGCGGCTGCTCAGGAGGAGCAGGTGGCTGCCAGGGTAGGGGTGGATGTGACAGGATCTTGTATTAGTGTGGAGAGCAGAGTTGATGGGTTCTCTAGCTACAGGTCCAAAAAGACAGCCACATTCCCCTCCCTGCCCTGATTTCCCCTTCCCAATCTTCACCAATTTCTGCAAAGACAGTTTCAATCCAACCTGTATTCACAAGCTTCGTTAGCCAATAACTACACTATTCAGCAAGGGAAACCAGAGTTCCACAGGATTACGAACACAGGCTAAACCTCAACCAATCCCGGAGGGACATTTTCCTTCCTGTACATTCTAGTGTGTTCTGCCTTGGCTGCAGCGTGTCAGAGAAACACAGGGCATCTATCTTTTTGAGCCACTCTTCAGCTTTGGAATGAATGCAGACAGGAGGCAGAACTGTTAGAAAACTGCTTTTGCCTTTAACGTGTGTCGATGCACAAGAGCTGAGTGCATTCTGGGGTGCAATGTGACACCCCAATACCCAGCACAAGGTGGAAGGGCCAGACCTGCAGCTGGCACGCCTACAGCCTCAGCCCTGTGTCGCTTCTTGGTGCTGGCCCAAGCGGCCACTGGAACTGCCCAGGAGTTGCCGACAGCTGAGGTTGTGCTGTGTACAGCACATGCGCGTTAGCTCTGCCGGGGGTTGTCGCCCAACATGTTGTGCTTCGCAAGGGACCTGGCCGTGACCTTGCAGAAGGCATATTTGCCCGCTGTTGGCATCGCACCTCAGTCTCCCTTTTGCACCTCCAGGAAATGCCAGTGAGTCCGAGGAGGACCGCGGCACGGGGGCCGTGGAGGGCCATACCCTGCCCAGCACACACCGGATGCCCGACTCCAAGTTCCCGCCCCTCCACGGCAAGCTGGACGCCATCAAGAAAGGCCACGCCAAGGACAGCCAGCGCTACAAGGTCGACTACGAGTCGCAGAGCACCGACACCCAGAACTTCTCCTCCGAGTCCAAGCGTGAGACTGAATACGTGAGCACCTCTCCTCTTGTCACCCCTTCCAGTGGCCGGGGAGCAGGGACTGGGCGCCCTGCTGTGTGCCCGGGGCCGCCCGCCACCTGCTGAGCTGCCTGCTGTCCCACAGGGCCCTTGTCGTCGAGAGATGGAGGACACCCTGAACCAGCTCAAGTTCATCAACGTGCTGAGCCCACGGGGCGTCCACATCCCCAACTGCGACAAGAAGGGCTTTTACAAGAAGAAGCAGGTACGGGCCATCTGCACGCGTGTGTTCATGTATGTTGTGTTTGTACATGTATGTGTGTGCACGTGTATAAACGTGGTTTTGTATGTGTGCTCACGCTCCAGTGTCTGCTGTACAGGCCACAGCCAGAGCCCAGGCCTGCTTTCATAACCCTTGTTGTTCACACTGAGCCTGTCTCCATCATTCCTGTGACAAATCCATACTGAACCAACTTGGAAGGCCGGCCTGGACGGCATGAGGTGCCCAGTGTGGGCCGAAGTCCTCACCCCCATCCGATGAGCCCTGCAGGCTCAGTGTTCCTGGGAGGGTCGCCCTGCACACACACACACAGTCCCTCACTCCCTCAGCAACACACACAGCACACACACGTGTGTGCAGGGGTCTCGGGGGGTCTGTCGCTCCTGGCAAAGCTGGGCTGGAAGAACCCTGCCAGGGCCTGGGAGACAAGTCACCGCAGCCGCAGGTTCACATCCCTGCCCCGTCTGTCCCACAGTGCCGCCCTTCCAAAGGTAGAAAGCGGGGTTTCTGCTGGTGCGTGGACAAGTACGGACAGCCGCTGCCAGGCTATGACTCCAAGGGCAAGGACGAGGTGCACTGCCTGGGCATGCAGAGCCAGTAGACGCTGCCAGGTAAGCCCCTCGTCCAGGGAGTCGTAGGGGGAAGGGGCTGGGTGTGGCCCTGGGGAACGGCAGCCATACCACCCAGAGGGAAGCACCTCCGGCAGGTGCAGATGGCGGGCGTCCCAGGCCGGGCTGAAGGAGTGAACTCACAGCACTGAGGCCTTCTCAGAGCCAGGCAAGGCTCTGCGCAGCCGGCTCTGCCCTGCACCTGCTGGCTCTGCCTCGCACGGGAGCGCTTCTTAGACTGAATTTCTGAATTCAAAATGCTCACCTTTGTTCCAAACAGCATCTGATTCATCTGTAGTTATGGACATTCTAAAAGTTGGCTGAAATCTCAGATGGAAAAAGCAAAACTTTGTGCTATGATATGCTCGGGACTCTGTTCATTTTTAAAACAAGGGAGTGTGGGGGTGGCGTTAGCAGAGGGGTAAATATATTTCCTTTCATCTTTTCAAGATGAACTTCCTAAGCCAAAGCGAGATGAATTTCGTGAGCATAAACGATACTGTTAGGGGCCTTTGACCATGCCAGGCGGAAGCCAATCTTCAGATCTCTGGTGGCTTTCTGACCGTGAACCAGGGAGCAGGTTTGGGGGCCCTTTGTTCTGTGGCAGGTGCAAGTGGAGACCCCGGCCCACAGAGCAGCAGACAGCACCCTCTGGGTTCACACGTCTCTCTTTCTTTCTCCCCTAGTCCTTGTGGAGCTCAGACACACTGATTTTGCACAGGAGACCGCCAGCAAGCCATCCGCAGCTGGCAACAGCCCCCACGTGCGTTTCTCTTTCCTGGTGAATTCATTTTTTAAACCAAAGTTCACAACCTTCTTGAAGCACCTGCAGCGTCGCTCACCCAGAGTCCAGCGGGGCCACTCAGGTCCCACCCCAGCACCCGGCGCTTCATGCCTCGCTTGGCAGCTTGGCTCGCACGCATGCGTGCAGGAGCAGAGGCTGAGATGAGGCCCAGGCGCCACCCCTAGGATGAGTAGGCAGGCCCTGAACCCCAGTCATCTGGAGACTCTGACGTACCTCCCCGAGGCCACAGGAATTTAGCCCTGAGCTTCCAGGGGCTGTGCTGCCTGGAGACTGTCTGAAAGAACCAGAGGACCCCTCTGAACTCCGCCCGGCAGCTCCTTACAGCCCTGGCCACAGCCCCAGTGGTGGGAGAGGCAGGTGGCAGCCAGGCTGGCCTGCCAGTGCCTGTGCCACGCTCCAGATGACTGCAGAAAACAGCCCTCGCCACGCACCTGCTCCTCAGGACAGCACTTGCTCCTGAGGCTCACCTCCTTGTAGACCAAGCCGCATCCCAATCGCTCCACTTTCCCTCCAACAGTCATGAGCCAGGCAGGAGGAACGGCACCCTGGCAGCGCCCTGAGGACTCTGGGCACGCGTGGGAAAGCCCCGTCCATGGCGCTGGGGTCACTCTTGCTTTCCTTGGTAGCTCACCTATGTAAGCAGAGAAGATGCACTTCATACTCAACTGCTGGCGTTGTATGCAGCATAGCCCCAGTATAACCAGCTCTGTGCTCGTTCACCCTAGGTGAGGCTCCACTACACGACACAGCTGTGCCCGCGACCAAGGAGGCATGCCCGTCCCTCACTGGGCGGCTGTGGCGCTCCTCGGGAAACACAGCAAGTAGCCAGACACTCTGCCTACCTGTTAGCTTCTCTTTATTTTTTTAATAAAGTGTTTGAGGGGAAATGTATTTTTGAAAAGTTTGTCTTGCAGTGTATTTATAAACAGTAAATAAAGTTTTTACCATTAAAACAGAAGCCCACTTTCATCTTCAATTGCCCCTGTGTCTTCTGACCCTAAAGAAGTAACTTGGAGAGAGCGAGGTGTTCAGAAGTACACTTTGTGTATCCAGACGGGCTTCCCTGCTAGCGTGCCACCAGCAGAGGGAGCCAGGCAGCCACAGCCCAACCGGAACATCCAGTCCCAGGAGGTGGTGTGTGGGCAGGTGTGCCATGCCAGCCATCACTCTGGTCTTTGGGGCTGCTTCCTCACTGGTCCCATCTGACCCTGGGTACAGCTTTACCCCCAGGACAGGAGCAAAACACTCACCCCCCACCACTACCCCCAGGTACTTCCCCCAAAAGGGGCAGTGGGCATGCAGGAGGAAGGGGGTCCTGGGAGTCACCAGGTAGGGTTGCAGACTCTCCCTCTCAGAGGCCCTGCCAGGTCGTCTGCTCTCCAGGGCGCCAAGGGACAAAGGGCACACTGAGAACTCACAGCCAGTCCAGACTCACGTCTGACCGTATTTGGACTACTTCCTGGTCCCCCGAGGGTCGTGTGGTGAGCAGTGGAGGATTCTACAGGTGTCAGAGAGCTGTGGGCATGGTGGCTGGGGAGGTGAAAGGAGACATCCCCTGGGCAGAGGGGAGGGGAGGAGAGCAGCCTGCCCTCCCAGACTCGGGCCCAGGGTCAGTGTGGAGACCCTGTCTCAGCCTCAGCCTCTCACACACTCTGCCCAGGTGCCAGGCCTTCCCTGCAGCTCCCAGCTTCCGGGTCTCTGGACACCTGTTGAAATGCGCCAGGGGTTTGGTTGGGTCACGTGCAGATGGCAGACAGTGCACCTTACAGTATGAGACTCTGGGAGACTGCTTCTTCCTGGCAAATCTCCCTAGACGTGTGAGTGCCTAGTGTAGGATGGTAGACAGATGATGGACAGGGGAAGGACAGAGGGGGAGCAGAGAGGCGAGGACAGGGCTCGGTGAGGAGCTCGGTGTTTGCAGGGGTGGGTGGAGAGAGCCAGGACAGCCTGGACCCCTCGGTTCTGTGTCCCTGGAAGCCCAGTCACAATGCCCTGCCAGGTTGCACCCGCAGGCCAGGCCAAGCCCAGCGTGAGCAAATGTGCACCATGGCCTTCCAGGCCATGGGCTCTGACGGCCATGGGGAAGGACCCATCCCATGTGGTCCCCTCACTGAGGCTCCCTCAGGGGCTGGAGCAGCAGAGAGGGAGCTGAGCAATGAGAGGGAAGCAGATCGGGGCAGAGCCAGCCAGAGGCCAGGTAGGAGGGCAGAAACCAGGAGGCTGGGAGCCCGGGGCCCTGGAGCCAGCGTGTATATCCCAGAGGGGAAGCAGCAGTGCCCACAGCAAGGGGCGGCAGTCACACTGTGTGCCTGGGACACAAGGGCCATTGCCTTCTGCAGAGCCCAGCTCTCCCCAAGACCTAAGCAGCAGAGATGTCCAGCATCCGCAAAGATGGTGCTGCAAAGGAGTCCAGAAATCAACATCATTGACAGCAGGGTATCGGACCAGAAGATGACTGAGTGGGGCACCAGAGTGCCTGGGAGGCAGCCAGTGGGGCAACCACGCAGGCCAGTAGGAAGTGGGCCCTTTGGTGGCCAAGGCACAGCTAGCACCTGCCCCACCCTTGCAGAGACACCTGGTCAACCTGGGATATAGCAGCTGTGATAACTACTGGAACCTGAAAGAGTAAGGATTTACGCAAAGTGCACAGGACAGAGGATGATGCTGCCAAGGGCAGACGCAGGAAAGGTTGAGAATGAAGTTGAGAAGGAAGCAGAAGAAACCCAGCTGTGGACAACGCGAAGGCACAGCCAAGAGAAGGAGCCAGAATCCAGCGCACAGATGACCACGCTGCCGGGGAACACTGGGCGTGGGCTGACTGTGCTTCTCGGAGTGAGGACACAGCAACATCCTAAAATGTTCAACTTTCCAGGAGAAGCAGCAGCTCACAAAGAAACAAGGGCCCATTGGCACCCCACTCCCCAGTGGCGCCCCACTCCCCAATGACGCCCCACTCCCCAGTGGTGCCCCATTCCCCAGGGACGCTGAACGCAGAGGGAGGAGGGAGTGGGAACCTAGAATCTTCCTCCAGACGAGCTGGCTTGATGGCGAAGGCCTCAGGCAGTCTGGCTTGGCAGCTAAGATGCCCCAGGCCCTTGTCAGAGCTCATTGCCTGCCCCGATGCCAGCTGCCTGCCAATGCACGCCTGGCTTCAGCCTCACCAGCCCTGGCTGTCACAGCCTCTATGGAGTGAACCAAAAGCAACAGCTGCAGTTCTCGCTGTCTGTTCTGCCTTTCAAGCAGATGAAAAAAAAATTGTTTTTTTTTTGCCACAACTGCCTAGATAGCTCTCTTGAGGACAATGGGGCAAGCAGGAATGACATTGGAGAACAAACAGCGCAGGACCCCTCCATGAGAAAAAAGCAGGGACTAACACACGCTAGGATCCACAGCAGGCAAGAGGTCCAAGGGCAAAGGACGTGAGCTGCACAGAGGCCGCGCCAGGCCCACGGCGCTGTCTCCAAGAACCAAGCACCGGGCTGCGAGGCTAGAGAGCTGCTGGACAAGGCGCAGGCCCCCGGCTCCGCCAGCGCCCAGGGTCACATCTCAGAGCAGGTGACTTCCAGGAGCAACGCAGGAGCCTGCAGACCCTGCAAATGAGACAGGTGGGAGAGGAGTCTAGAATACTCTCACAAAGCAGACACCACCCCCTGGTGTCTGAGGAGTCCTCGCAGGGATAAGAGAGACCGCTCGCTCGTGCTGGCCAACATGAACATTGTGGAAGTTTGAAGAGAAAGGACATACCCCGGGTTACCCTGCAGAAGCAGGCAACACGCAGCCCCAAGGCACACAGAGACACATGGGCAATGCAAAGCCCACAGCAGGCACAAGAGGCGCCCCAGCCCTGCTCAGGCCGCTGGCCTGCACGCCTGACTCGGGAGGCAACTCAGTGCTAAAAGAATCCATCACATTCACAAAGTGAAGAGGAAGGCTTGTGTCTTCACGGAAACAGCAAAAGCACTTTACAAAACTCAACACTGTGAAGACATCAAGGAAATGGGAAGGAGGGGGAACTCCCATCCTCTGACCTCAAGTGGGACTCATAGAGGCCAAAGCCCATGGCCTTGCCCTGCGAGGCCACCACAAACCAGTTAGCCATACCCTACTTCTCAGTGGGGCAGCCAGCAGCGGCCCCTTCGTTTCTGATGTTGGTAAATGTGTCCTGTCTGCTGTGACTTTAGCTCCTAAGCTATCCATCTTTCCAAAGAACCAGCCTGTTGCATCAGCTCTCTGTGATGGCCGAGACTCCCTTGATTTGCACTTTATTAATTCCATCTCTTTTCCAGGTTGGCTAAAATTGCTCTTCATTCTGTAGTTTCCTGGGTAGACGTTAACATCACTGCTTTTAGATCTTTCTCATTAAAAAAAAAAAAACCTATTTGAAAGACAGAGTTAGAGAGAGATCTTCCATCCATGGGAGCAGCCAGGACTGGACCAGAGAGAAGACAGCAGCATCACCCCAATATCCCATACGGACACAGAGCATCCTCCACTGCTTTCCAGGCCATTAGCAGGGTGCTGGATCAGAAGTGGAGTGGTCGGACTTAAACCATCCCATATGGGATGCCGGCATCACAGACAGGCTTTGTGTGAATTCCACACCGGCCCCGCCAGTTACCACTACCTGCACCCATCACAAATCCCCAGCGAACACTGCCTCATCTGCACCCACGAATTGGGGAAACTAAGTTTTCATTTCACTGAAAACCTGTCATCATCTGTCTCACGAGTTCTCTTTAAGAGCACAGAGTCTGACCCCAGCTCTCCTGGGATTTCCTAGCTCTCTTTGACTTCAGTGGAAGTCCCGTGTTGTCTCAGAGCAAACACATGCGAAGGTTCTGGTGCTGACCCTGCTGGGCCGTGGGGTGGACCTGACACAGTCTGCGAGGGAACACCCAGGGGCACGTGGCAGAATGTGGCTGGGTGCGGGAGCCGGGAAGCCCACCGGCTCCGGGCCACTGGCAGGCCCCTGCACCTGCTGGCGGCTGACACAGAAGCCGGCCCCTCCTGTGCTCCACCAGTTCTTGCTTCCTGCCTGCCTTTACCTTGGCGCCCCGGGGCTGGGGCTGGTGTGTTGTTTTCACTGACATTTGCTTTGTCATGGGATGTTCTCTTCAAGGGGTCACTTTCCTTGGCCTGCAGCCGCTCTGTGTGAGGCTGAGACAGCTAACCCTGCTTTGTCCCGTTGCATGGCTCGGCACGGACCTCCCGAGCGGAGTCTTTCAGTGCGACTCGCGAAGGCAGAGGCGCTGTGAACATGTCGTCGTGTGTGACCTGTTCTGAGAACCTCTTTCAGTTGGTGCAGTTAGATGTTGTTAAAATTCAGTGTGTTTGTGAATGTTCTGTTCGTGGCTTTACTCCTGCTTTTTTCCCACTTCCTCTGGTTTTAGCTCCCACCCTCTCTTGCCTATCATTCTTAGGCTGTGACTGTCTCCATTGGTTGTGGTGGTTGACGTGTGTCAGCTTGATACATGTGCCTCTCTGATGCCCACACGTCTCACCAGCAGGCAGGAGCAGGGCACCCGGGGGCCCAATCAGCGGGGTGTCACCAGGGAAGCACCAGTGGGGCTTTGCAGAAAGAAGGAGCCAACCAGAGCCCTGAGACCACCGAGACGGCAGAGGCTGGAGGTCTGAGGCCCCGGGGAAGGACCATGACAGTGAGTGGTGGTGCTCAGTCATGGGAACACGAGTGACAAGGGATGAGCTGGCCTGTGCTGGGAGGAGGAGGAAGAGGGCTGGGCTGGAGGCGGAGGGGGGTGGGGTGTAAAGGAGCAGAATCCTCCTGGAACATTCAGTCAGCAGGCCCGTTGGCAGGCTGCAGGGGGCCCCAGGAAGAGGCTGGCTCCAAGCGGGAGGGGATGCCAGTCCTGGCTTGGGAGCCCACAACAAGACAGGGGCCAACACCACCAAAGCCAGAAGTGGACAGGTCGAGTCGGGGTGCAGGAGAGGCAGGGCAAGAGACCACACGGACTTCATGTTCACAGTGACAGTCAGGGTGTTTATTCCAAATGGGCCAGGGGTGGGCATCCTGCAGACCACACAGATACACAGCCCGATCACGGAGCATCCCAGCTCCCGCCATGCCACGTGGGCACTCGGGCCTCACACTCTGGCCACGTGCTTTCCCACCCTCAAAGCCCAGGGGAACCACAGCCCAAGTATTTACACGCGTGTGCTAGGACGCTTCCTGATACACTTGTATAAGTTAGAACAGCCAAGGTGACTGTGTAGAAAAAAATAAACTTACAGAGAATAAATAAACTAGCAGCCTTAATACACCAAGTAGAGTATAAAAAGTTGCCCCATGTATATATACATGCGCAAATATATATATATATTTATCAAGTGTGTGTTCCAGAGGATAAACACACCACAGACCTACATAGTGACAGAACCCAGGCTACCATATCTTCAGTGCTGGACGGTCAAGTGCTGGGGGCAGTTGGGGTCCCCTCTGACAGCCGGGACCCCCGAGATTCTCTTTCCATTCCACGGGTAGACGCACCAGCAGAGCCCAGGCTCCCCGTCCAGGGATGCCTCACACTGCCAAGAGAGGATGGCACAGGTCAGGAGCAGCCCTGGTCGGGGCTGCGTGGGAAGGAGAGGCAACGGCCAGCCCCTCAGGCGTGACTCTCGGTGCTCAGGCTTGGGGACCCGCTGACAGCATCAGATCACAGAGCGTGTGTCCCCCTCCCCTCACGGAGGGAAGTGGGGGAGTCAACGGGAGGACAAAGGGGCCACACACTGGGGCGGACATGGCTCTCCCGGAACAAGGGCAATCAGGAGGACGAGGGTACCACTACCTGTCCACAAGGCCACCCACCTGTTTGCTGTGAAAAAATCCATTCTTGTTGCAATTGGGCAGATAAAACTTGTAGATTTCTTCCCCTGCTTCCTGCCGCGCCTTGGTTAATTGCTCCAGCACCCTGTAGAGCTCCCGCTGGCACGGCCCCTGGAACAGGAACCCCGTTAGGACAAAGGCAGGAGGAAGCAGGCCACAGCCCAGAAGAGCAACCACTGACTGGGGCAGGGGTATTCATGCATATCAGGGCTTTGTGGCAGGACGGCCACTCCCCTACCCCAGCCAGCCACAGCCCTGCACACAAGTCCCCAAGGTGCCTGTCCTGCACTTGCTGAGCCAGCGGCAGAGTGGGGGTGACCGGCCTCTGTCCTGGCTATGACAAGTGGGAGGGACACCATTGGGGCCCTCTCTGGGCATCGTCCAAGCCCCTGGCATGAGCCTGGCCGACTCCAGGACCTCCCACTGCACCTTCCCCCAGCTCAGCAGAGTCACCCATCCTCCCAGGACAGGGCTGGCTCTCTGAAGGAGAAACTCCTGGCCAGAGCCTGCCAGGCTCTGAGCAAGCGTCCTCTGCAGAGTGCCACACGATGCCCCACCCTCCTCCCTGCTTTCCACGGGGAGGTCTGAGAAGGCCTGGCTGCGCGGCCCACGGGAAATATCTGCAGCTCCAACTTTGGTTCTCTGTCGCCCCCAAGTGGCAGCATTAAAACCAGCCAGTCTGGCCACAAGGATTCAAAAGTTGTAGCTTGGAAAGACGAGAAGGTTCTAGAGATGGTGACAACAGTCCGTTGCAAGCTAAGGGAATATATTTGATGCCACAGAGACTTGTCCTTTAAAATGTCTGAGAAAGGATGTAGGCTAAGGTTCCACCTGCGGCGCCAGCATCCCCTATGGGTGTCAATTCAAGTTCTGGCTGCTGCACTTCTGATCCAGTTCCCTGCTTATGACCTGGGAAAGCAGCAAAGAAGGCCGTAACTCTTCAGGACCTGCACTCAAGTGGAAGACCCGAGGGAGGCTCCAGGCTCCTGGCTTCAGATCAGTCCAGTTCAGCCACTGTAGCCATTTAGAGAGTGAACCAGTAAATGGAAGATTCCCTCTTTCTCTCTTTTCCTCTCTTTGTATGTGTGTATGTCCTTCTCTTTGTAATTCTGTCTTTCCGATAAAAGTAAAATAATTTTTTAATGTCTGAGAGAGTAGATTTATGGTGTCCGTGTGTCACCAAGGGCAGGGGCCACAGTGGCCCCAGGGAGGGGCAGCAGCATGCAGACTCCTGGGGCTGCAGGCTGACACAGGAGCACAGCTCTGAGATGGCAAGTGACCTGCCAGGGCTGCACAACAGGATGTAAGTCCAACAGACTGAGTAAGCCAAGCCGGGGGGTCGGCTAGCCTGTGGAGTGTGCGTGTGCGGAAGACGAGCATTAAGTCCAGGGGGTGGGGCCCGGCGCGATGGCACAGTGGTTAAGTCCAGGGAGTGGGCATCAGGCCCCTTCCGCCCCAGCTGCGCACAGGTCTCACCTTCCACTGCTTGCCATCGGTGGCCCCGGCAGCCCCAGGGCTCCTAAACGTGCTGATGGTGTTCCAGGGGGTGGCCTGGTCCTCACCCGAGGGGGTCGTGAGATGGAGGCGCTCCACCAGCTGCTCCTCTGTCATCTCCACGCTGTCCCGGGGTGCAGGGGCTGCTGGGAGGAGACACCACAGAGTGAGCCCCGTACCACCCCTGGCTCAGGATGGTCCCCTGCACTGGGCTTCACCCATGCCCCCAGGGAGGAGTTTCCACTGCTGTCTCGGAAGGCAAAGCCTTTGCAGCTCTGGCCCAGGACTGACCCATGGTGGCTGCCTCGGACCCTCAACTGGCCTGGCCACTGCAGGGGACATTAGCAACAGGCACATAGCTGGCAGTGAGGGTCCCAGGAACAGTGCTCAGAGCCCAAGAAAGACAGACCGCTCGAGGGCCGCTGTGGGTCTGCAGAAAGCCCCCACTACCACTGCTTCCTAGACATGGCACCACTGGCGGCCAGGGGGCACCGGATCAGATCAGAACCACACACGGGACTGAGGACCCCAACGGGAGCCAGGAGCCACCGCAGAGCGGGAAGGGGGCAGTGCTTGCCTGTTCCCACTTCCCACCACAAAACCCAGCCACAGTCCAGGAAAGGACCCAGTACACCCACGCTAGCCACGGTCCCGGAGCTCCCATCCCAGGCACCCAGGTACCCAGGCACCCAGGCCCAGCTGGGAGGGGGCCCAGCCAGGAGGGGGCCCAGCTGGGCAGGTGCAGGTACCCACTAGCTCGGCACTCAGCTGGGTGGCCTCGGGCCCCTTCAACTCCCCCCCCTCCAGCAGCACTTTCCCCTGACTCCTGCTCCTACAGGAAGGGCTGGCCCAGGTTCTCTGAGCTCCTCCCACGGGGGACTTGGGACAAGGCCCTGGACCTCACAGGGCCCTCTCCCAGGTAAGGGGACCTGAGAGCCAGAGGCTACAGTACCTGATGTCTCAGCATCGGATGCAGAGGAGTCCAGCACGCAGCTGCCCTGGCCACGAGTGAGTGCGTGGAGCGGCCTGGGTTCCCCAGGCAGGGCACGGCAGCTCAGACCCCGGGCACAGCGTGCAGTGGCCACACCACAGGCAGCACCCAGAGGCAGGGCGCACATGGGGCAGCAGCCACAGCCAGCCGGCCGGGAGACCTCGGGGCACGAGGCAGGCACAGGTGGGCAGAGCGCAAGCTTCTCGGCAGAGCATGGCGCGCAGTGCCATGGCTGGGAGGCACTGATGGCACTGGCAACCTGGATGGCCAGCAGGAGCAGGAACGGCCAGGGACGGACCGCAGGGGTCTCAGGCATGTCTGGGCAGCGAAGGCTGTCTGTCAGTTGTTGGATGCTCTTGATCCAGGAGTGGAGGAGCAGGAGCTGATGCTGCTATGTGCTGTGTGTGCCTTATAAAGGACTCAGGGCGCCTCGGGGAGGTTAATGATTAGCAGCACGATACGCTGGGAGCTCAGTGTTCAAAATAAGTTTGTTTTTCTCGTGGGCCCAGAGCCCTGGGCCAACGCAGGTGAGGCGGTAAATGATTGTTGTCACACTGTCCTATCATGGCAGGGTCCTGTTGGAGCTAAAGTCCACTTGTAGTGACGAGCAGCAGGCCCAGCAGGGGTGGTTTTGTTGTTGTTCCAGTGCTTCCACCCCCCCCCCCCACTCACCCCCACATGCTCCCGGGGCGTCCCCAGGGACCAGCCCAGGTCCTGCTCTCTGCATCACCCAGGAGCCCCCATCGGTTCCATGCCCAGCAGCAGTCATACGCCAAGGCTCCCTCCTTCAGTAGAATTCCCACGTCTTGGGCAATAAGACCCCAATTTACAGACAAAATCTGAGCTATGCAGGCCACAGCAGTGGTCGCTTCCCAGGAGAGCTGCCCCGGAGTCACCCCACCACTACCACCACCACCAAGCCACACAGGTCCCTGCCAGCTCCTCCATCTCTGGCCGCACAACCCAGCCCAGGCCTGGGATCCTGGGGACATCTCTTTGGCTCAGGAAGCAGGACGTGGCCAGGACTCACACACCCCTCCCACCTGCCCCCAGACCCTGCACCGGTGAGCCCAAGGGAGATACTGCCCTCCCTCTATGATGGGGAAAACTCTAAATAATGAACATCTCCATCACCAGCCAGCGGAGGCTGTGCCCCCTGGAAGACACCAGCCCCAGCACCCCTCCAGAACCAGGATCCTGGAAGTGGCAGCAGGGACCTCTGTGGTTTGGGAGTCGAAGCCACAACCAGGTGAGGACTACTGCAGTTTGCAGGATGGAGGAGGGGTGCCCCTGGAGAGAAGGCTCCGAGCAGGGCTGGGGGGCAGGCAGGACCTCAGAGTTCAGGTTAGGTAGGGCAGGAGGGACAGAACGTGCTCACGTGTTGGTAAAGCAGAGAGATAAGGGGCTGTGCGTGTGACCGTGGCAAGCGTGCCGCGCAGCCTGAGAAATCAGCTCTGGAGCCTGAGGGCAACGTCTGACCAGCAGAAAACCAGGGAACAGGCCACTTGTCTTCCCAGTGGACCAGAAGGTGACCAGGGAACAGGCCACTTGTCTTCCCAGTGGACCAGAAGGTGACCAGGGAATAGGCCACTATTTTCCCAGTGGCCCCAATGCCCTATGTAAGACAGCCAAACAGGATGGCACCCTGTCCCTTCCTGGTCACTTGGCTGGCTCCTGGACCTCAGGGAAGGGACCAGATGTACTGCTCTGGCTTTCGTCCCTGCTGCAAAGTCTCCGTGAGCAGGGTGGCCCGGGCCTGGTGTCCCCTCTGCGCACTCAGCACAGCCTGAAGTGCCTGGCCAAGCTTGCCCTCAGTTTCTTTTGAAGAACTGACCCATGAGCTGGAACCTTTCAGTTCTAAATATTTATTTTCATTGTGTGTAAAAGGCAGTGAAGCAGAGAGAATCTCAACAGTCGGCTCCCTCCGCAGGTGCCCACACAGCCAAGGCCAGCCAGCCTGAAGCCAGGACACTAGACCTCAATACTGGGCCCCTGAGCCATCACCACTGCTGCCCAGGCTGGACGCTGGCAGGACCCGTCCCCAACAACTCCCCAGGGGATGCCAGCTTCCCAAGTGGCGATTTGACTGCTGCACCAAGCACTTGCCCCAACTGTTGAGTCAAAGTTGACACTTTTCTGCAGGTGCCTAAGCAGTTTCATTTCCAAGTGAGCCACGGCCCTTGACTGGCAGCCCATGTCCTCAGCTGACATCTGTTTCATGGTGTGCCTAGAGAAAATCCTTCCAGATCCTTGGCACCTACCTACTAGTTTGTGGGCCTGAACAGCTGGCCCAGGCGCACCCCTGTCCAGCGCCCACCCAGCGTGGCCCTCCCCTCTCCCTGTGGATGGTCACGCTGCACGTAGTGAAGTTCTTTTCCTCAGGATCGATGTCCCCGATGTTTCCATGGCTTGCCTCATAGCAACAGCAAACAAGCATGCGTGCGCCAACACAGGTAGAGCCGGGCCCTTCCTCCAGGCCCAGGTGGGTGGGCAGGCAGACTGTCCCTCTGCATTGGTGACTCAGAGCCCTGACCCTAGCCCTGGCCCTACCACCCCCATTCATTTTCCTGTGTGAACTTCCCCCTGCCCACCCTGTTCACAGGAAACAGCCATCATCGCTTCCATGTTCCCGGGACCCTGTATCTCCAACACACTGCGTAGCTTGCAGACCTCCCAGCGGCTTTGTCTCCAAGACTCAGCCCCGCGACCCCAGCCTCCCACAGCCTCCCCTGCCGAGCACACTGCTCGGCCCTCCAGCTTGTGCAGCCCCAGTGTGGGGAAGGTGCTGAGGAGTTCAGTGTGGTCATCCACAGGGTCCCCAGGCAAGCCATGATTCCCATGTGGATGGTCCACTGCAGGTTGATTCTGAGCTAGCCTGCTGATAAATGGGATACACAGAGTGCATATCAGTTCATGGCCAGGCTCCTTGCAGAAACGCAGCTGCCAGGGCTGGCCTGGGAGGGCAGGTGGGCAGAGAGCCAGAAAGACCGAGGGCCCAATGCATGATGGCCGTGTCACTCACTCCTTTCCACTCATCCTCCTCCCCTTAGAACCCCCGCCCAGGAGTCTTCTTAGCTGCACAGCCTTCCAGGGCCCCAGCGGACTTAGCTGACCCCAAAACGCAAGGACGCACTGGCTAGCATCATGAAGTGCCCAGTGTATATGTTTGCAACCATGTGCCCTGTGTGTACATGTATGTGCATGGGTGCAGCTTGCTACCCCCTCCAGGCTGGAGGTAGAACTAGGACACAGAGCACATGACAGATGCCCCAAACCCAGATAGCAAGGGACTGGGAAGCCCCTGAGCTGGGCGCACCCTGGCATGGGGCTGGGACCTGATGTTAGCACTGATGTGCTCCTAGGCCAGGATCAACTGTCCAAGTCCGGAGGCCTCCTCAGCACCCCTGTTCTGCCCAGGCTCGACCCCTCTTGCCAGATCACACAGGCAATTGCTACCAAGTGGAGCCAAAAACGTGAGCATGCACTGGGCTGCAGGCACACTCATGGAGGTCGGGCTGTGAGGCGTTCGGGCCACGGCTACACTCGGCCACAGGGCACGTTCAGAAAGGCTGTGCTACTTGTGAGGCTTTCAGGGTATCAGTGCCAGCCAGGGAATTCCAGCACTGTCCACCAGGCAAAGTGAGCTAACCCAGGAGCCCAGGAGGGAGCCCTCACCTCCTGGCCTGGGAGCCCTGTGTCTGCAGAGGACAGGAGATCCCTTCCCAAAAGGTGCCAGCCTCAGGGTCACCAGGAGAGTGGCACTTGCTGACAGGTTTAGAACACACTTTGGACATGGTATCAGTCTAGGTTCTGGGAATGCCTGGAAAGCAAGTACTACACACCTACCCACCAATGCCCAAGCCCTCAATTATCCCTCCTGCGAGGTGGGGACACAGCAGCAGCTGGCACAAGTGTGTAAGACGGGCTACGCAACTCACACCACTGGAGTGACATTCGCAGGGCCCCCTCACCCACTGCTCCTAACTGCCCGAACAGCGCCTCCCCGATTCCCCCGCAGGCAGCCGGAAGATTGGGCAATCCCCACTCTGAAAACAATACGCAGAGGCCAAGGGCAAAGTCGGGCTTTCAAAGGGAAACACGATGCAATTCCCTGTGGAGGGGAAATTGTTTTTAACCTGGGGACACACACACACACACACACACACATGCTCTGCCCACATTCAGGTCAACACAGCAATGATGTAATCCCAGGCAAAGCCCTGGCTGGCCTCGTCTCACAGGCAGGTGAAGGGCACCGCTGTGCAAACTAAACCAAAACAGCCCAAACCCACGCTCCCCACGGCGGGAAAGTCACTCCGCTCTTGTCACATCAACAAGCCAGGTTCTGAACACGGGGAGTCAGAGGTGTCCCAGCCAGTGCCCAGGGCCGGAGCCCAGGAGACTGGTTAACAGGCCTGGCTACTAATGCCAGGCCATCCTCGAGCACTCACATTCAGGTTACAGCTGTCCCCTGGTCCTCTGGGTCCTCAGTCAACGGGGGAGGTGTGTGTAGGCACAGTCCGGCCTCAGGCTGCCTGGGAACCTCGGTGGAAATGCAGATCCCCAGGCTCCCCACACCTTCTGGCCTCTCACTCATTCAGAGCGCCTTCCAGCACAGAAGGCTTGAGGGCTGAGGGGGCCAGAACAGGTGCTTCTGGAAGGCAGGGCAGTCCCCAGGGGCCCGAGTGCATCCCATGTCTACCGAAGGCCTCCACCTCAGGCTGGTCTTGGGAGGGAGCCCTGGGGACTCGACCCCCCAGGAGACCATTGTGTACCACCGGGGTCACCGGTGTGGAAGCCCACACCCCAGCCACCTGCAGGACCCCGGGATGGACATAGATCTCCCCTCAGGCCTCAGCTCATTGCTAAGTGCCCCTCACACAGACTACTGCATGTCAGGACCACCAAGGCTGGGCCACTCCTAGCCATCTAGGGATCCATGACACAGGAAGGCAGACACGACCCCAAGCCTGAAGCCAAGTACTCTCAGCCCCTGGTCCCGTGCACCTGGGGAGGCCCTGTCTCTGCTCTGAGCTTCCACCACCCCTGGCCCTGCTATACTCAGGCCCACCAGTACAAGCACACCACCTCTGCTTGAAATTTGACCCTCATCTCCATGGGCAGAGTGCTCTTGGCTATGACCAAGAGGACCAACAGGCTCCGGACACCGGGCATGGCCTGAGCTCTCTGCAGGCCACTGTCCCAGGCCATGCAGCACTTGGGACACAGTCAGGTGTACCTGTCTTACCTCGCCCTGGCCCCAGGAGCTGTGCTGTAACGCACCTGCCATGTGAGAATGCCTCGCCCTTCCCGTCT